CGCAGCCTTCTCTTCTCCAGACTGAACAAGCCCAACTCTCTCAGCCTGTCCTCATAGGAGAGGGGCTCCAGCCCTCGGATCATTTTTGTAGCCCTCCTCTGGACCCGTTCCAACAGTTCCATGTCCTTCTTGTGCTGAGGAAGCAAGGGGACTTCAGGGCATCTCTGGGAACTTCCAGACCTCATTTATTTAACCCATGCTCAGGGCTGGGTTTTGCAGCCTGGGTGCAGGGGTGTTCATCCCCCAGCTCTGCGCAGAACGGAGCAGTCCGCTCTTCACCCTGGTGAGCGCTGAGGGGACGCGAGGTGTGAAAGCCCATCTTGCGAAGCGGCGATTCCTTCCCACTGGTAGTGAATAACGCAACGAATTTATCTCCGCGCCCCCTCCCTGAAGGTCTTGGGTCTGAGCTGACCCCAGGCAGCGAGCAGAGAGCACCAGCCGGGGCGAGGAGGTGGTGGCAAATCACTGCTTTGTTTGTAAATCGTCCCAGTGACTGACAAACCCTCGTGGAGAATTTTTCGAATACCTCTCAGCGTGGCCGTACCCGAGGGCTCCGTTTCTCACGTCAGCGCCCAGCTGCTTCCTCACGCCAGGCCCTGCTCTCCGAGCTGGCAGCTTTTTAATCACATTTTTTCACTTAAAAGTCCCTGAGTCATCAGTTTGTGCAGTGGGATGAATGCTGACACCCTGGCACTACTGCCTGTGTCCCACCACCCCGCCCTGTCTGTCCAGCTGCACCAGATGTGGCCCTTACACCTTAAAATCACCCAAACCAGGGGCTTGAATGTGGTGAGGAGCTAAACCCAAACAAACTGCTTTGCCAGAATGGTTTATTTTCTGCAACCACACGGGTTGCATGTTTTGGGGGGGGTCTCCTGCAGGCAGGGAGCGATGCTGATCTCTGCCTTGGGGATGGGAACAGACCCAAATCCTGGCCTGAGCCCTTGTCCCCAGCTTGTCCGGTGGCAGCCCCAGAGGTTTAAAGCGCAAACGTTACCCCTATAGGGAGGTGCCGAGGGCCGGCCTGCGCGCCGGGAGTTTTGAAATCCCACGGCAAACCAGGGATTGCCCCCCTCCTCGTCCCGCGTTCATCCCAGCCTGGGCCGTGGGATGCTTGGCGTTCCTGCGAGCATCCCAGGGCTGCTGGCCCCCCTCCCCACGGCCGCCGCGCGCCGGCAGCTGGATTGGCTGCGGTGGCCCAACCTTTCCTTTTTAGGCTGCGTGCCTGCTCCGGCTCGGGGCTTTGCCGCTGCGGGCCCAGCTTCAAACTGGCCGTGCCGAGGCTTCCCGTCCCGGCTGGCCGCGGCGCCGTGGGTCAGGGCGGTTCGGGGATCCTGCGGGGGTGGGGAGCTCGGAGCAGACC